AATATTTTGTAAACTCCTCAAAATGACTATGCCTTCCAGCCCTTATTGTGACTGGGACTGTGCTAAGAGAGGTCTGTAGAAAAATAATAACAGTGATTGACAAACTTCTGAGAGATGGTCTCTGAGAAAGAGTTAAAAGTAACTGCAGGATTTCCATGGGCCTAAGAAATTAGAATTTTGATTAATAGCTGAATGCCACTTAAAAGACTGTCAGGGACAATTTTCTGATAAAAGTACCTCATTGTATCAATGGCAGAGGTTTCCCTTGACACAGCAAAACAGACAGGTAGTCCTGTCTTGCCGTCACCCATACACTTTGCTACTGGACCAGGACTAATTTTGATGGAGCACTGTGGTGTGGCTGCAAGCACACTCCCACTGATGCATTGCTGCAGGAAAGTAAAGGACAGCAACCTTAGAGCTTGCCCAAAACTTTTAGATGATGTTGAAAATGTTTTGTTCCTAATACAGGGCCCACGGTGAAAGACCAACACCTACCGTATGTCTTGAGACAGGGCTGAAGATCAGCTCCAAGTAGGTGCCAGGAGAGAGGTGGTGATGGGTCCCCCTGCACCTCTGCTAGGAGAAACACAGGTGTCCTGGTGGCGTCAGCAGTGAAGTCACATGTTTCAGGCTCCTTCTCCTTGTAGTATCTTATGTCTCACTTCTAAGAGACCCCAAACCCATCCCCATTGAAATGCCATCAAACACTCAAATGACTGGGACAGTGTTTACTGGCTAAGAGACTGCTGAAACAGAGTATACTATTTCTTCCAGAAGTTCTGCATGCACACTGTACACAAAAGTACAAGAAAATCAGTTATGGGAATGTTTAACAGCTAACAGGTTCATTTTTCAGACAAGAAAAGCATCCACTGCTTTAAAATAAAATAAAAATAAACAAATATAGGTTTAGTCCCAGTTGTAGTTATTAATTTGAACAGAAAATAATTTCAATTTTGATGACAAAGTGACAGAGTCATTTCCTCAACATATTGAAGTTACTGGCAAACTCCTCATGTTGGTCATTGGTAATTTTGTGATGTGCAGCTAATTCCTGACATGCAACTTGTGCCTCATACTGTTGGTTAGCCTGCAGGGCACACTCAACAACAGAGGTTAATTTCTTTTGTATGCTTATGTATCTGCATTCCCTCCCTCCCTATAAAAAATAAAGATCAAGAGAAGCATGTTGGCCTTCAAGAACAAGAAGCACATTTCCCCGTCATGTTAAGTCAAGTTTTGTTTAGCAGACTAGAATGCTGGATTTTGCTTTGGGTCATTGATTGAAAGCCAATGCAACGAATTCATACAGCACTAATTGGCAGCACAGGCATAAAATCTTAAGTAAGAAGGATGAAAAGCTGCTCAGGCATCCCAGGGCCCTTTCCAGCAATACAAATTGCAGCTATTATTTTATATCAATGAACTGCAATAATCTTGAATTACCTGCACTGGAAGGAAAATTTGTGATAACAAACCCTTATCTACCTTACTTTCTAGCCTGCAATAATCAGGGTACTTCTTTGGCAGAGAGGGGGACATTTCCTTGTGTCAGCTTTGCTCAGATGAATTTATTTAACAAAACACATTTTAAAAATCAGTCTTCCAATCAGACAATAAGTTTTTTAAGATTAGTGCTCAAGTAGAGCTGTTTACCATGGATGTCTAAAACTAATGTGATTTTTAAAATAACGTTTCCCAGAGGAATTAACACTTGGACTTCAGAAAAGAAGAATGAAGTCAGAACGCACCACTTGCCCTTTGCACAGCTGATCTTCCAGAGCAGAGAGTTTGAACTAAAATAGTTGATGCCTTTAGTTTCTTGATAATTTTTTCTAAAAATCCATTTCACCTCTGGCTTTTTGTGCTAGCATGAAGCTGACTCCTCTGCAACCTCTTAGATTTGTTCAGTGCTTAAGTCACACCTGGGTGGGAGCAGCTTGGATTTTTCACTGGGAACTGGCAGGAGGTGACACTGGATGAAAGCAAGGATAATCCTCTCAGCATGCAATCCAGGAGCAACTCTAAGCAGGTCTCCAAAGGTGAAATCAGCAGAAGGAGTGGATCATCTCAAGGTTGCTTCAGTGCTATTCAGTGTTTAAAAGTCTACCTACACTGTTTCTCCCACTCAATCTGTGAAGCAGGTGGGAGGTGCTCAGTGTAGGTCCAGCACAGCACTGCCGCTGGACTGTGCATCCAGGCTGGAGAGGCATCCAGACCCACACCACGATTCTGCTTTCCTCATAAAAGGTTCCATGGTGGCTGTAGGAGGGGAAAAAATTAGCAGAAAACTCCTTTTTCCTTTTTGTTTTCAACAGCTACCTGCTCAGACTTTCCCATCAGCCCCATTCGTCAGGGCACAGCATGAGGAATGGGGGTTACTGGTCTCTGCTTCCTCCAGTGCAGCCCAGGAACTCAGTTCTGTGCCACATTGTCTCTCAGCAAGTGCTACCCCAGAAGGGAGGGCAAGCAGCATTCAAAGTGCCTACCAGCCCTTCAGATGTTCCCAAAAAAGCACACCACTTACTGATCATTATCACAGAACCTCTCAAGTTGGAAGGCAAGGATGATTGAATTAAACTCCCTGTTTTTCACAGGACTACCTAAAACTAAGCCATATGACTAAGGGCATTGTCCACATGCTCCTTGAACTCCAACAGGTTTGGTTGGTTTGGCCATAACCACTTTCCTAGGGATCCTGTTATGGATACTAAGGCAAAATTGCCTTAAAAATACTGTAAGAAGGAAAGATCTGTGCAGAGACTTATGAAATAACATGCCTATGTGTTTACATTTGGGGGGGGGGGACTGGGAGATAAAGAGCAGGATCAGCAGGTGGAAATGCTGACTTTGGGGAACAGTGATATCCATTTCCACTGTCAGCAATCCCTCATCATTATCCCATTTTTCCATCCTTGACTACTCTCGATTCATCCCAGGTAGAACATAAAAATGAAACTTCAAGAAGACACAGTGAGAACACCTACAGAGAGATTTATGTTGGAGTTTCAGTCTCCTAGGAAAAGCTGCTGAGATTTTTGAAACAAACAGCAAGCTGCTCCTCTGCCTTCTCCAACCTACCACCCAGCTCATTCCTCTTCATGCTCTGCATCAATACTGTCCCTCTGCATTTCAACCTTATTTGTCTACATACATTCCTCTTCTAACACGTAAGTTTTTGGCTTGGTTGCCGGTTTGGGGGGGTCATATTTTTGAAGGGAGGTGGGGAGAAGTGTTTCATCATCCTTTGAACTCCCAGTTTTGCTTCATCACCATCAGTAGATAAGACCAGGCTCCTGAAAGAGTGAGCAATTTGTGCAGTAATTATGCCTCCTCTACCACTTATGTTCTTCTTTGTAATGGACTTAAGTACTCATTTCCACTATCGCTGACTAGTTTAATGGTTTTCCAGTATCACTGACAATGAAGACACTGGCCATCAAGGCACTTACACTCTGACAAGTGCTGTGGAATTGGGTGACAACAGAAGATGGAAATAAAAAATAAATAAATGTCTTCTGGAATTCTTCCATTTTAAGAAGAGCAGTTGAGCATGAAGCAGGCCAGTGTCATCTCACTGAGGATGAATCTGAAAGCAAGCTGTGCACTTACACCATGCGAGATGGTTAAGTTCCTGAGAAAAGGAGTGATATCACTTCTTCAGGGATTAACACGGCCTTTTGTACATTTCAGAGGGGATGACAGTTAGTAGTAACTACTGAGATTGTTTTTATCAATTACTAGAGGGTCCTGGCTTCCAAAAAACTGCCAGCGTGCCTAACTAGCTCTGACACAATAATCTCCAAATTCTAAATCCTTCCCTGCTTAAAAAAAACCCAAAAGAATAAAGGGGGGAATAGGAAACTGTATTGAATACACTTTATCTTTAAATACAATCTAATAATAGCCTAAATTTACAGTGAAGTAACAAAGGGCATAAATTCAGTCATTTCAGGGTACCATAGCAGATAGGCATACCACGTGAAAGACTTGCAACATGAAGTGACATAGAGGGTGTTGTTTGGGTTTTTTATTATTTTGTGGCATTGTGTTTTTTCCCTGGGTTTTTCTCATGTTTGGGTGTTGGTTTTTTTTAACTTCAGTGGCTTCCTTCAGCCTTACAATAAGGGGTGTGTCTCATCTTTCTGAAAGACTGTCTACATCAGGGCAAATTAATGCACATACCTAGGTAGTCATAGACAAAGTAAAATACCAACTCAACATTTAATCTGTTGTTCATATTTTACAGCTTATTTTGCCATTTAAAAAATGACACAACAATTTAAGAGATGAAACAATATTTGGTAAAAGCTGAAACTTTCCCTTGATTTAACCACAATCAAAGGATTATTTTAATCTGAACAGCATTATGTATGTCAAGGTAAACCCAAGTGTTAAGACAGCAAATTGACGTGCTTTATATAGGTATATTCCTTCTAAATAAAACTGATTTACAAGCAACACAAAAGTAGTGCTCATCCACAATTTCAATGCAACTGCTTACAAGAGTCAGAAAATATTATGTCAGTATGTGACAGAAAAGTGTGGCTAAAATAAGGCAAACAAACAGCAAGATACACAAATCAGAAGGCAGAACACACCCACTCAACATGGAACTTAAACACAACATGGAAAAAAACATGTCTCACAAACAGTCTTGCCCATGAACAATCAAGAAGCAAGCATGCAGCATCCATGTTCTCTCGTCTTAATGCCAGCTTACAACTACTGCAAAGCAACTATGATTCTATTCCTCTTCCAAGGCAACTTCTTGTCTTTCTGAGAGGCTATTATTGTATTTTGTATGTATCAAAAGATGGATTTGTGGCAGTCATACACAATCCATCTAGTTTTAAAATGGATCAAACATTGTTCTTTAGTTCACTGTGTTTTTTATTAATAGCAAAATAGAATACCTGACTTTGAACTAGACTCCTGTGCAATCAAGCATGGACAAGCAGACAACATTTGCAATATTACTGGTATAATGACCTAACATTCCATGTATGACTTCGGGCTTCAGAGTTAGAAGATCATTTCATCTAGCCCCTCCTCCATAAACTTCTTGTAAATGGCCATAAACTTTGCTACAAATGCTTCTAGGTGATAAATGGCTTTGCTGCCCAGCTGCAGGCGGTGTTCATAGAAGGCTGCCATCTCTGCAACTTCTCCTTTCAGTTGTCCATCACAGTTATTTAGAAGTTCTGTCAGGAGGCCCTAAAAGGGGAAAAAAAAAAAAAAGAACAGTATTTGAAAAATTATGGGTTTTTTGTTAAGAGGATAAACTCAGTTCTCTGAAAATAGCCAACCTATGACCAGTAGTTCAGTCATGAATCCAACAGAAAAGACATTCAAGAATCATCACATCAATTTGACAGAACTTGGTTCACACAACCATGTCTCTTCAGAACTTCCCTTCAAGATAAATTCCTCATGTCAAAATGGATACTCCCTATTGTGCTCTTTGATGGGAAAAATCATATACTGGAGCTACTTATGCTTTAATAAAGAAAATAAATTAACCTACTCTCCAAATACTTAAACCTCTACTGTGTGCAGGGATACGGCCCTGGAGAGAACCTTTACCAAGATACGAAGTGTATTAAAATCACTTACTTCCTATCTCAACGTTATCGAGCATAAAGACAAACAACGTTAATCAATAACAAAGAAAGGGTTTGTTTAAAATTTAAGTATTACTTTATATTTATGTAGACACACACAAGATACTTTACAACAATGCTTCAGTCATTACAAAATCAAAAACGCATCACTAGAGATTGAAGACAGCAGTAAAATCATTGCTAATTCATCTCTATTATAAAGGTCAGGATTAAGTGAGAAGTATTTCTAGATCATTTCAAGTTTATGAGGGAGTGGGTAGAGAACATCCACCTTTGGCCTGACAACAGTCCTCAAACAGGGCAAAGTAGGATCCACTAACCTACTGTAGGAAAGGAAGGTTAAAACAACACCTGTCAGAAACAGAAACCAGTTAATAATAATTTTTTTTCATATCTTGTAATTCTGCCTGATGGCAAAGTCTACCTAAGATAAGTTGCAAAAATAAGTTTTAATCTTTGTTCTGCTCTAGTTGTCTTCAGCATCCTTTCAGCCTGCTTAAAATAAAAAATATGCATGTCTCAGTTGTATTTTTCTCCCAACATGATTTGTCTTTGAAGAGATCTACTGGTCTAACATCCTTCAGCAAACCTCTCCACTACGCCATAGGGAATATGGAACCTACAACAACAAAATATTTACAACAGAAAACAAATGATATCAAAACTAGCCCGTAAAATACGTCTACACTTCAATACAGAAATTGGCCTAAGGAGTATTCAGGAATACAAGGCATGTCTTCCTTTGTTTTTACTCAGCTGTGACACTGCTGTTCTGTGATCACAGAACAAGTTTTAGTAAACCAAGGGGGGAACAAGGAAGCCTGCAACAAAAATAAACAAGATATTTATATTGTCCAAATTAGAGAACAGAATCTTCCTACCTCCCATCAAATCCATCATACCTAAATATATTTAGGCACGAACCTAATTAAACAGTCTAATATACTGACTGAGAATCAGTGTTTACAGGAACAAGGTCTTTAATTACTGCTTCAGAGCAATAACCTAGACTATTTCGGTTACTCTAGTGGAAAGAAACAAAAAAGGAAAGTATCTTGTTGTCACTCACATCTATTTGAAAAGGACACAGCTTTCCATCAATACTTAAGATAATTGGTGATGTTTCAGTGTGGTTTTTTTTAAACTCAAGACTGTCATAGTGTTAACATTCATAATGCATTAAGAGCTAGGCAGCTGAATTACCTTCATTATAATCTCAGGAGGAATACAGTGTGTCAGGAGTTCATAGAGCCGTCCACGGACCTCTAAAAGCCTGTTGCAAAGACACCACAAAATTATCAGAATTATGTCCCTAGAGCATACTGTGGTTTCACTATTTGTGAAATATGCTGCAAGAAATATGCAACCCAAGTAAAGGGTTTCTTTTCCAGTTTTGATTGTGTGCGTTATATTAAACCCAAAAGCATTGCACAAGTCAGTTTAAATTAAAACCCTATTCGAAACAGTAAGATACTAGTGACAGTAGTTTCAGCTAATCAGGAAGCTACAAGGCTATTAGAATTTGTCTCAGGCTTGTCTCCCTTTAATTCCTCTTCATATCAAAATTATTACTCATGCTTAAGATTAGTGAGAAGACACCACAAAACTACTTGAGTCACCAAACTCATTAAAGTTGTTTTTCTGTCTTCATTGTTTAAAGAGGGGGTAAGTTGCCAATTCTTAACTTTTAGTATCAGGAAGTCAGAGGCTACAAGCACTTAAACTAAATATAAGAATACAAAAAAGTGTCAACAAACTAGAAGGATCAGGATGCCTATGTAACACCTCCTCCTCCGAAGGAAAAACAAAAAAGACCAACAGGTCAACATACAGCTAAGCTTACGCTCACTTTTGATTACAAAGCTCCAGCAGAGAAACCAAATAATTGTTTCAGTTCCCAAAACTCATTGAGCCTCCTCTGACAATTTTAAAGCTCACTTTGGCTGCAAAGTACTACCTAGCTCTGGTAGAAATGGGGAGTTGCTGAAGAGCTGCCCAGCAGAGAGGGACCTGGGGGTGCTGATTGACATCTGGCTGAACATGAGCCAGTAGTGTGCCCAGATGGCCAAGAGGGTCAATGGCATCCTGGCCTGCATCAGGAATAGTGTGGCCAGCAGGGCCAGGGAGGTGATTTTACCCCTGTACTCAGCATTGGTGAGGCTGCACCTCCAGTTCAGTTCTGGGCCTCTCATGACAGAAAGGACATTGAGCTACTAGAGTATGTCCAAAGAGGGGCAATGAAGTCGATGAAGGGTTTGGTGCATATGTCTTACAAGGAGCAGCTGAGGGAGCTGGGGTTGTTCAGCCTGGAGAAAGGGAGGCTCAGGGGAGACCTAACTGCTCTCTACAGCTACCTTATAGGAGGTTATGAAGAGGAGGGGATCCAGCTTTCAATGAAGTTACAAGTGACAGGAAGAGAGGTAATGGCCTTAAGTTACACCAGGGGAGGTTTAGATTGGATGTTAGGAAGATTTCTTCACTAAAAGTGTTATTAGGCATTGGAACAGGTTGCCCAGGGCAGTGGTGGAGTCACCATCACTGAAGGTATTCAAGAGTTGCATGAACATAGTAGGGGTATGGTTAGGGATATGGTTTAGTTAAGGACTTTTCAGTGGTAGGTTGACTGTTGAACACTGTGATCTTGAAGGTCTTTTACAACCAAGGCAATTCTGTGATTCTGAATACCTACAGATGCCATATTTTTAAATACAAGTTTTTTCAGGTTTAAGAGTACACCAAAAACATCATGTATAGATACATGCAAGTGTATTCACCTACCTTTGTGGTGTCTGTTGACCAACAATAGCATTTGCAGTTTCTCTCAAATAAACTTCCCAGTCCATCTCAGGAATTTCTTGATCAGCAGTAAAAGGATACCTACATAATAATATTAAAAAAATAAATAAATTCAAAACTGTCAACTACACTAACAAGGCCTCAGAAGTAAGTTAATTTATGTGCCTGAGAGTATAATTTATATTCATTTTTAGCAATGACTTACTGTTGTACTCTGCAGGACTCACACATAAGTAGTGCCTTCCGAAGATTCCTGCCAGATTTCTCTGCAATCCTTTGAGCCAGTTCCTGAGGAAGAGTTAGGCCTTCTTTCTTACACACACTGGATAAGACATGGCAGATCTAGACAGGAAAGAGAGAGCAGGGAGTGCAACACTTAGCAAACAGTTTAGCACCTACCAGTTCTCCTGTTTGAAACATTTCTGGATCACAGATGGACCATCCTGTCATAAGACATGCTTGTCAGGTCACCCACCACAAAGAAAAACTAGGTCACTTTGTGGAAGTAAAATAATTCCTAGGTCCACAGCAAGAACTTAGCCAGTAAGAAGTTTTAAATAACTTATTTCTGCTTCTGTTTCAACATACATCCTCAACGCTGGGAGCAGGCACTCTTACAGCCAGGCATCTGCTTTGAATAGGTCCTATAATTTTTGACATGGAGTTGCAGCACAGGATTAACCTGCAGGTTGCCATGTACTTCTCCATCGTTCTTCGCAAGGCATGCTGAGCATCTTTAGTGAGTTTGTCGACTTCTGTTAACAGCACCACTGAAAAAGAATAAAAATAAGAGTTTTTTTAAATTAGTATCAAATCTTTCTAAGAAAATGAGTACTCTGACATACAGGAATAATACCAAAATAAATAATACAAGCAGAAAAATAGAGGTAGAAAAAATCCACTGGAAGGAAAAGATTAAGACAACCTGTGTGTCTTTTTGACTGGATAATCTTTTGCTCCTCCACACCCTATATTCATCTCCTGGAATGTCAATTTTTTCAAAGCAGAGCCTGCAACACTACAGTGCCAAGAAATAATCCAGGTACGTGTAGAAACTTTGATAATCAGTACAGTAACTTTTTAAAGGGATTTTAAAGAAATGCAAAAGCATTTAGGTGAAATAGATTTCCTGAGAAATAGTGAGAAAAACGAGACAAAGTCCTAAATCCATGACCATTTAAAACTAATTTCTGCTCTGTTGTAAATGTCAAGATTTCCTCTCTCCTTCTGTCTCTTGTTATACAGTTCTGATTTTGCATTCCATTTAGTCACACGGAGAAAGACAAGCCCATTGTAGCAGCATGTGTTTTGGAAAACTCAAAAAACGCCTTTTTCATTCTCTTACCCACTGTCTGTATGTACACTATGGATAAAATGGCATTTCAATGGTAGACTTGGGAGGACAGCAGAAAACTCAGCTCCCTCTGCCCAGACACAGTCATTCAACTACACCCTGTCTTCCTAAAAAACAACACCAGAGACAACCTCACACTGAGCATTTACCACTCAATATATTTCCACAGTGGAAGAAAAACAAGAGGTGGTTTAATCTAGGAAAGGTTCATGTGTGTCCTCCCACAATATACAGGTATAAACAAAACAGTCAACCGAAATATCTGAAAAGGAACTTTTACAAGTACTTCGACTGGTTTTAGCAGATTTTACTCACCTTTAAAATCTCGTTGAGTACTTGTCTCAAGCTGCTGGGATTGTGCTACTGTCTTCAAGAGTTCCTGAATTACTACACGGTCATTGTTTCCTGCATCACTGTACCAGGAGTTTGAATAAAACTTGTTTTAAAACAACTTTATACTGCATAAAAAAATACATCCTTGCAAGCAGCTCCCAGACCAGTTGACTGAACAAGAATGCTGGAAGAATTCAGAAGCTGTTGAGGTTAGAATTAAGCTTAAAACACACACATTGTTGAAATGTACCTTCCCAATAAGAAAAACAACCCAAAGCCTACAGACACAGCTAGATCAGTAGCACTGTATTGGAAAGTTCTGAAACCACTGCCAAATGTTTTATTAATTCTTTAAAATATAACTTAGTTTTGCTGGTATGAGAAATCTAAACTTTTGTTACTTACAGTTTGGGCAAAGACACATAATGCAAACGTTTTTACCCATTATGGGAAGAAAAATAAAATCTAACCACACAGCAGGATGACTGACTTACAAAGGACTCATGTAATGCATAGGGCTTTTTTTCCCTGAAAATTACATGACGCACTATCAATAATCTTATGGGTTTAATATAAACTTGAATGGCAGACAAACAGAAGCTAAGAGTTAGTAGTAAAAGATTAATACTGTGATACTCTTACAGCACAGATGGCTAACTTTTTTTCCTCTCAGAAGGCAGGAAAACATGAGACAATACTAATTTCCTTCCTGCCTCTTGTCCTTAGTGCAGCACTGCACAGCTTTCTCAGTCCCCAGGTTAGTAGCTCAGCTACCTTAACTCAGATTTGAAACCACTGGGGATTGACTTGCAAGCTACGTTTCTGAAAATGCAAAGAAAAAGAGAGGAAAACCCCCACACTCTTTAGCAACCCCAACTGTTGCCTTCACAGAGGCAGAAGTAGCTCTGCAATATTCACTAGCAAGAAAATGAAAAGGGCATTTGCCTGTCCTGTTCCATTCACCACTCAACCAGACCTTCCCCACCCTTGCCAAGGAGAAGGAAGCAGAATGTACAGAAGTATATTAGCTCAACAGTTCACCATCTGCTGAACAGGCAACAATGACTTTGACTGCAGAGATCTGTCCTTCAGCATGGGAGATCAATTACAGTGCAAAAAAATGCAAAACAACACAAGCTGGTTCTACTTATGAGCTAGGCCAGTTTTTGGAAATGGATAATGATTAAATTTGTTCCCCAATACTTAAAATTATTCTTCGCAGAAACAAAGAACCCAGGGTTATAATTTCATTATGAAAGACTATTCGTGATATTATGTGACCACAGCAAACATTCCAGGAAAACAATGAACAAAGGCAGTTACCACACAAATGTTTACTTTTTGTTGTTTCCTAATTCTTCCTCTACCCCCTTTCTCAGAATCCAATTTGGAGCATCTATCCTAGTTAGTCAAATGACCAGCAGACAATGCTTTGGAATTCAGACAATAAACTCCTTTGGAAGGCAAAAAGAACAGCTCTGTCTAATAAAGTTCCATAATAAATTCCACGTCTACCGAGTCCTTCCCAGAAGTTAACTTCCTTTCCCTGTAAACCATTTCTCATGTTCTATGTTACTCTGGATGCACAACATGATTTCACAATATCATAATTCAATCAAACTTTCCAGACTATAGCACAGCACATGCAGGTTCACCATCTGGTCATTAGGGCTCTATTAGAACATCAACAACACAAAGTGATTAGTTGCAGAATAAGCTTTTAATGGGAACAAGGTACATAAGAATACCTTCTAAAATGCACAGCAACACGAGGAAAGATTTACCAATAAGCACAAAGCTAAGAGTTACTTCATTATATACATTTTCTTGTAATTGCAACCTGCACAACAAAGCCAACATAACCAAAGCCTCCCAGCAGACAATTACATCTACTGTGAAGATTTATAGGAACATTACAGGGTTTCAGGTAAATAGAAGTATTTACTTTGGGTCAGTGAACACCAGCAATTTAACAACTGTCAGTACACCATCATAGCTTCTGATGTTTGAATCAACATCTGACCTCACCGATGACAGGTTTCCCAGTATGTTGTGCTGGTGTTTTTTCACATGCTGTAAACTCTTTCAGTTACTGGGTAAACTTTGCTTACTTTCAAATAACTTTGTATTTCTGAAAGAACTAGCAACATGAGGGCTTGGTTCCAAAAAAAGTTCTCAATTTCAACCGAAATTATTAAATCCATGAATCCAGAATGGTTTGTTACCCAGTCCTCAACACCAGCATACTTATGTGGCTAGTTAAGCAGAACATTACTGCCTTATAAGTAAACAGCAATCCAAATTTTTATTAATTTAGAGCTGTTCAGTTAAAAATCCCCTCCCTGTTCCCATTTGCAGTTCAAACCCACAAACCATTATCTAATTTACTGAGGCAATAAAATACACAATCAGGCCCTTACGTAGCCAGGTTGAATCCACTTGCAATATGACCAGCAGCTTATATTTGAAGTGGGACATTTTTACTGTATACTTACCTTGGGTTAACTTCAAGGTGATAATTACTTGCAATGGTGCTAATTTCAATTTTCTTTTTAGAAGGTGCCTGCGCAGAAAGTAAGCGTATTAAATTTCAGGAAGAGTATTCAAAAAATCTGATGCAATTTTTTCTCACAGATTACAACTCATTTGATAGCCAGCAAACCAAAGGCCTCAGTGATTAGAGAACTGCGGAGACATTAGACTTATGCATCTCCCACCCCTAACCCCATCCCCAAGGGACAAAACAAGTACTGACACATCATTCAGCCTGTAGAATAACAACAGTAATTATTATAGCAACGCTTAGGATGTATTACTACTTATTCCAGTGACTGAGTTTCTTAGCAAGAAATACTATTACTGGAATCAGCTGTTCAAAATATACGATACCTTGTCCCTCCAAAGAGAAGTTATGTAAGTAAAACCTGTGGAGCAGCCTGAAGAGGCTGTTCACTTCTCTTGGTGAAGGATTTCAAAACCATATGTGGTTTAAAGAAAACACTAGTATTCTCTGACCTTTAAATTTGGATCCGAATAGTTAAATGTGCCCTACATTTCTATCATCCAATGTCATTATTATATTTGTTCCACTACTGAGAATTAAAAAGCAAGCACTAAATAACCTACTTATCAATAAAGCTTGATAAGCCCCTTGCTGATTAAACCTTCCATAACAAGGATTTTGAATGGATAATATAACCTCTGAAAAAAGATAAATTAAATGCTTAAGATGAAGACAGATAGAATTTATGTAGTGGTTTTTTTTCCTAATGTTGAAATTGTCATTATGGGAATAAGAAAACAAGTTAGACATTTCATATATGAGAACAGCAGTGCTAATAATTTTTAGAAAGGGTTACTTTTCCTGACAAATTAAATTCTGTACCTCTAATTGAGAGCTAGTCTTTTAAAATATATGCTATTGTCCAAACCAAACTATAAAAAAAAAAAACAAACACAAAAAAACCCCAACAACCAAACAAACCCCACAAAAAACCCCAACCAAACAACAAACCAAAAGCTACAGCCAAAGAAAATAACAAAAAATCTTCACCTCCTCCCACTCAGGAAGAGGTAAGGAACACAAATATCTGTTTAAGAAAAAGCATTTGTTTAGTTGTTCAACTAAACTAGCCTGACTAATTGCATAAAAAAGCTTGCAGATACTAAGAGAAAAAAATAAATTAAAATGCAAATAAATATTAAGGTGTCACAACAGAAATATATCTGTAGATAAACAGCCACAATACTTTGCAGAATTTAGGAGATTTATTATTTTTTTACCGTTATACTCTGATGCTCAATCCTCAGTTTTTCCACTCCTGGACCATATAATTCCCTTAACAAACACATTATTCTTGTCTTTTTTCCAGCTCCTGACGGTCCATACACCAAGAGATGAGGGAAGTCACCACACTGAACCTGAACACAAAGCACAGATGATTAATTAGCTATTAGTTTGCTATTTTCCTTTTAGAACAGTAGCCACCCTTCCACTCTTAACCAAGCTTGCATGAAGTAACTTTTCCAGCCCAGTCACAACATAGTACATAGAATTACAACTGCTGAATTCCTTTCCTGCAGCTCTCTTTCCTACAGAACGTCATATTTTTCTGAAGATGACATGCAACTCATTTAACTCCAACCACTTCACCTCTCTAACAAACCACAAAGACCCCAAACAAACCTCTCACAACAACCAAAACACCACCCCAGCATTTAAATACTTTCCAGGATTTCTAGAATGACAGCTACAATAAACAGAGTAAAAAGGATTAAAACGAAGTTTAAAGCACACGTGTGTACCCATACGCACATAAGAAATGTGTTGTTTCATTTGCTAGCCTTGAATCGGGGCAGACAAGTTGGAGTTTGTTTCTTGAGAAACTAAAAAGGACCAGTTGGAAAATACGTGCCCTAACCCCAGAGTCAGAATTAACAGTTTGGTAAAACAGCCACAGAAAAATAGAGTGAATCAAGCTAGTGCAAAGAAATCAGCACACTCGGCATGGAACTTATAACATCCAAGCAACTACAGTCCTGAGCTTCACTGCCAGGTGCTCACCCTAAAACTTCACCCAAAGTCAAGTAAACGCGGTAAGCCCTGTTCTCAAAGACAGTGACCATTCCCAGCCAAAGCCAGCAGGAAGCACAGATGCAGCACCCCTGACCAAGCCACCCCTTTTATTTACTCGCAGCCTTCTCCTCAGAGCGGGACACGGTGCCCGCAGACCACTTTCCCACCAGCGGCGACCGGCAGGGAAGCTACTCCGAAGGCGAGGGCCTGCACCGAGGGGAAACTCCCAATTCCTGCCTTGCAGCAGCACCTGACGTGCCGCGGAACCCCGGAGGATCCCTGAGGGGAGCAGAGGGGCCGGGTGGCGGGCTGGCCTCAGGCGGCCACCACGGCTGAAGGCCGCAGCGCGCAGAGCCCGCCGGGGAAGCCGCCGGGGAAGCCGCCCGGCGGCGCAGGGCGGGCGCGGGCGGG